TGAGACGGTAGGCTTAAGGGGGAGATGGCAGAGTAGTCCTTCTAGGTGTGCCCCTCTTTTAATTTTGACTGTGCCATCCCCTTTGAGGCATTCCTTGGCTTATAGATGCCGAAACTAAGGGGATCCCAGTCCAGAATGCTGTTTCCTTAGCAAAAGTGACTCATCATACTGGCCAGAGCAGTTTCTGAGCCAAACATCCCCTGTAATTACTACTTTTTAAATGTGTCCTGCCACTTCCAAGGATGAAATCCAAGTCCTAAACTTTTTCTTGCTGAAATTGACTTTCTGCTTTTTTTAATTTTTAATTTTAAAGACGTGGGGTACAATTTAGGATTAGGTATACATTGTATACCTAATGCCTATCATCGTATGCCTATCATCATACAGACAAAGTTTGGGCCTCCCTTTGGTCCCCACTTTGCCTGGTTTAAGATCAGGTACCCTTACTGATGTTGTGCCCCACCCCCACAGTATCCCACTACTGCCAATCCCTTTCTTATAGTATTATGGTAAATGTTCAGGGTCCGCTTATCAGTGAGATCATGTGTACTCTCTTCTTTGTTTCTCTGATAGATCACTGAATTTGATAGACTCTAAATCCATCCAAGTTGCTGCGAAGTCCATATATTTGTCCTTCTTTATGGCCATGTAATATTCCATTGTGTATATGTACCACTTTTTTTTTTTTGAGTTTGAGTCTTACTCTGTTACCCAGGCTGTAGTGCAGAGGCACACTCACGGCCACCCCAGCCTCCACCTGCTGGGCTCTGGCGATCCTTCCACCTCAGCCTTCCAAGTAGCTGGAACTACAGGCATGTGGCTAATTTTTTTGATTTATTGTAGAGACGAGGGCTCACCAAGTTGCCTGGGCTGGTCTTGAACCTGCAGCCTCAGACAATCCACTCTCCTTGGCCACCAAGCCCGGCCTGTACCACTTTTTTTATCCAGCCCCATTTTAATGGGCAGCATGGTTGGTTCCATGTTTCTACTTTTGTGAATAGTGCTGCAATAAACATGCGTGTGACTGTCTGCTTTTCAAATGTGGCTCCTGTACCCAATTAGGTTCATTAAAGAATAAGGTCTTAGCCCCTTTGCCTTCGAGGAGTAGGGATGCAGTGTATGGTAACAGCTCAGCAGTGCCAGGAAAAACACTGGCCTTTCCCATGGCCATCTGCAAGTCTGAGCCCCTTTAGAACTGAGTTCTAAAGATTTTTCCTTCTTGAAGAGATAACAAAAAATCTCTCATGCACTGATATCTAAGAGACAACTGGAAGACCTGGTACTGGCGTATGGGCTCTCATAATGGAGAAGGGACACAAGGAGATAGCCCTTCTCAGTAGATCAACAGGCTGTAGGTGGTCTTCACAGTGAAGTCAGGTGTTTTGGTTTTCTTCTCATCTGTGCTTGGGGGTGGCTTTCCAAAGTGTTTCTCCTGTCCCCATGTCCCCTTCCTCCTCTACTTTAATTTCCTGCATATGAAACAACTTCAGAGGGATATGATTTCTGCAGCATCAGTCCCTTTGGGCCCTCTGCAGAGGGATATGCGAAATAGATACTGCAGAAAAGAAAAAAGCAGCAGCCAGCGCCAGCTCACTGGGTGGCAGTTTAAGTTGGTGAGTTGTTGCTTAGCACCTGTAAAAGGAAGGGTGTCATCAAAAGCTCAATGCTGTAGGTATATCAGCAGCTATAGCAGTTTGATTAGCTGACCCTGCAGCTCTGTTGCTTTTTTTAACTCCCAGAAGAGAAGCTTTCCCCATCCTTCTGCTTTCTGATCAGCTGCATACAAAACAGATCTGTGTCCTGGGAATTTAGGACCCTCAGATTCTGTGTTGTGCCTGCAGATGAGGGAAGGGCCCCTGACAGCCTCTTCTGCTGGTGAAGAAAGAATTTCTGAGCAGCTCTGAAGTTAGACATCCAAGGTAGTTTTTGTTTGTTTTGTTCACTTTTATTTCTTTCTAGATTTAACATTGTAGGAGTGTATATTACTTTCTGTGGTTCTTTGTGGCCTGCAAGTTGTAGCCTCTTTTGTCTTTGATTATCCCTCTTCTTAGACTCAACCTTGAAAAATGATATTCTGTTTTGGGCACTTTTGCCAGGTAAACTCTCTCAAGTCTATGACTTCTGGAACCATGCAGATCTTTATTGTATGTCAGAAATCTCATTATGTAATTTACCTACTCATTCTTAGAACTCTAAAAAGAACCTCTAAGTTGTTGAGGTTTCTCTGAGAAAATGACTTTGTGTGTGTGCAAAATATTATTTTTAATGGGCGTGAATTCCTGTTGGACACAAATGCTAACTACTTATGTAACAGTGCCATTGGCGAGCAGGCTGAGGCTCCCTGGGATTTTCAGTGGCTCTTTTCCTTTCTTTCAACAACTGTTAATTTAATTGAACACTCTCCATATGCAGAGACCTGGGCCAGGTATGAAAGAGGAGAGCAAATGGAGCCGTGAATCAGGCCCGTGTGGGTCCTCCCTTTGTGGATCTGTCTACAGCCCTGACTCAGTGCTGTGAGGACCAGCAAGTCCATGTCCCCACTGTGGGACCTGCATCATCAGATGCAGCCGTCTCTTCTGCTCTTTCCCGTAGCTCCCACAGAAAAGTGCCATGCTCCCCTTTCAACTTAGCAAAGCAAAAGGAAAGTAGAATTGTGTCTTTTTTCTTTGTACTATTTTGTCAGTGAATCCTTTATTCCTTTATTCTAATGGGATCCACAAAGAATTTAAGGTTGCCCTGAGACAGTACATATTTGTTTCCCATTGATTACTGAAACAAAATCTCTGGGTATCTCTCAGCTGAAGAACATTCTCAGTGCCATCCTTCCATAAATATAGACTTAACCTGGAAACATACAGTTGGGCTGGTGAGGAGCCATGTCAGCTTGGATCACAGAGACTATGAAACAATTCCTGATCCCTCACATCCACTGTACCAGTAACTTTCATCTCATCCCTGCATAGTAATGAATCGAAAGGAGATGTTAGTGGGTTACTTGTTTGAGTTCATTCCAGAAAGGCAACAAAAGGGACTATGTGAAGTGAATTTTCTCCATTCTATTCCATTGGGTAGTTTTCTGTGCCGTGTAAAATTACAGGTAGGACTGGAAGGTTACACTCAAAAATCTGAAAGTTTTTTGGATTGAGGCCTTAGGCACTATCAGAGCTCTGTCTTCCAACTCAAAAAGAGGAAGTTGAATTCCTTCATTGATAGAGTACAGGTGCTGAGTTCAGGTAGCCCTGAGATGGTCTCCCAGCCCAACCACTTACAAGCTATGTGACTTTGGGGGAGTTACATAACATCCCTGAGCCTGTTTTTCTCATCTTTAAACTGGAGTTAAAAGCAGTAACATTATTGGTAACATTAAATGAGATAATATATGTAAAACTCCTGCCTTTAATAGTTTAGTAAATGATAACTTCTTTCTTTTTTTTTTTTGAGTTGGTGTCTTACTTCGTTGCCCAGGCTGGAGTGCGTTGGCACGCAGGCTCAGGGCCACCCCAGCGTCGACCTGCTGGGCTCTGACGATCCGTCTGCCTCAGCCTTCCAAGTAGCGGGAACTACAGGCGCATGCTACCATGCCTGGCTAATTTTTTTCATTTATTGTAGAGACAAGGTCTTACCAAGTTGCTCTGGCTGGTCTTGAATCCACAGGCTCAGGTAATTCCCTCACCTTGGCCTCCCAAAGTGCAGGGATTACAGACTGAGCTACTGAGCCTGGCTGATAGCTTCTTAATAAATACCTTAGAACAATCCCCAAGGCCTTGGTCATGCATCCAGGGCGACTTGGCTCCTGCATAGCTTCTTTTATCTTTCATCTGTTGCCCAAGAGGTATTACTGAGGTACATAGTAGATGCTTAATAAATGTTTGTTGAATGAATGAGTGATCCTCAGTACTTTCTTTGTCCTATTATCTTAGAATAGTACTTCACATTCTGAGTTTTGCACTGGGAAATGTCCTGAGAGATTCTTTGAGAAAACTGGCTGTTCTTTGATGTAAGTGGGTCTTAAAAAAAAAAAATAGAGAAAACTGGCCAGATATATTTGGGGCATGCTATAGAGTACAGATTCTAGAGATGAATAGTGCATTTTGCTATTTCAGAAGCTTGGAAAAGTTGTGGAGAGAAGAAACCTCTGTAGCTTTTTAAATGGCATTTTCCATGGCTGAGTGCGGTGGCTTATACCTGTAATCCCAACACTTTGGAAGGCTGAGGTAGGAGGCTTGAGGCCAGGAGTTTGAGACCACCCTGCGCAATAAAGCAAAACCCTGTATCTCCGAAAAATAGAAAAATCAACTGGGCATGGTGGTACGTGCTTGTCCCAGTTACTTGGGAGGCTGAGCCGGGAGGATTGCTTGAGCCCAGGAGGTCGAGGCTGTGGGGAGCTGTAATTGTGCCACTATCCTCCAACCTGGGTCACAGAGTGAAACCCTGTCTCAGAAAATTAAATTAAATTAAATTGAAAAACACTTAGCATTTTCCAAACTCATTTGACTATAGGGCTACAATAGTGCCACTGTGATGCTGTGATGAGGCCTTTAATGAATTAACATGCGCAAAGCATTTAAAGCAGTGCTGAGCAGATGAACACCACGAAGGGGCTGCTGTAAATATGATTATTAAGTGCGTCTTAATCTGTGTACTTTCTCAGAGAATTTAACCATTCCCTTATTGATGGGCATTTAAGTTATTTCCAGTAGTGCATTGTTATAGATAGTGCTGCAGTAAAACTCTTATATCCTTGTGCAAGTTATTTTTGTGGGAGAGATTCCTAGAAGTAGAATTACTGGGTCAAAAGATAGGCACATTAAACAATTTGACAGATCCCTCTGAATTACAAAATCTGATCAGCCATGATCTAACAGTCATTTGCCCTGTGAAGATATAAGCTGCTATCATCCCATACTGCATGTCTGCTGGATCCTTCTCCTTCTGTGTGCCATATCTGATGGTGGAATGGAACACAACCAAAACTCACCCCTCTCTTCTCTGTCTTGCAGAGTCTGGCCACAGATAAGGGATCAAAATGACTGACTCAAAATATTTCACCACAACCAAGAAAGGTATGGTTTGTTACATTATGGGCCTGGTCCTGCTCTTTCCCTGCCTGACTCTTCTGCTTGCCTCTGGGGCAAGGAGAGCAGAGGTGGGCGTGAAGGCCTGGAAGCATGTGCTAGGAATGACCTAGAGTTTCTTTATCTCATAGATCCAGAAAATGGAACTGTTTATGACATAAGAAATTGACTGCTCCTTTTAGAACTCAGGAAGGGAAGAGCATTAGCTCCAAGTATGGAAAAAAGTCCCCTTTCTGTTCCCCATGGGTTAAAATAGATAACTATGTTAAGATACATTTGTTTTCTCTAAATAATTAAATATGTTTTTTCCTGGGGGGAAGCACACAATCCTATCAGCAACCCACAGTGGTGTGGTGTGTGTGTGTGTGTGTGTGTGTGTGTGTCTGCGTATCTGTGTCTTTATCCATGGGGGTATGTTTTCCATGGTTGTAGTCAGAGTTCTCATCCTGTTTTTCATTTGACATTATCATAGACATTTCCCAGAAGTTCTAATGACTCAATATTTAGTATTTGCTAAGCTAGGCTTATGTCATTGGGTATTTGGGTTGCTTCTGCTTTTAAGGAAGTGGAGGATGTTGTGGCTAACAAATGTGCTTTAACCCTGTAAGCATCTTTCTGGCCAGCCCTTCCTTCCTCCCTCCTCCTTTCCAAGTGAAACTGACACATGCCTGCTGACCAAATGAAAAGTCTGTAGGATCAGCTGGCCCAGGACCTGAAGTCTGTCTTCATCAGGCATTTCATTTATTGATCCAGCTGGTTTTTATTGAGCATGTACCATATGCAGTGGAAGAGACAGACAGAGTCTCTGACCTGGCATTGCCCGGTGTTGAGGAGGGAAGACAGTCTATTGACTAGTAACCCTACCAGAGGGTGGAAGGTGCTGGAGGCTGTGGAAGAACTTCAGGTGGACCTAGCCAGTTAAAGGGGGGTGTGGGGAAGAGGAGGGAGTGAGTGGTCTGCCTGTGATACATTCAAGGAAAGGAAAGTAGTGGTGCGTGAATTACTGAAGAGTATGATGCAAGAAGAGATTGGAACCAGGCATGGTGACACCTCAGCTGACTGAGGCATGAGGATCACTTAAGCCCAGGAGTTCAAGTCTAGCCTGTGCAACATAGTGAGATCCTCTTCTCCAATTTGAAAAAAAAAAAAAAGAAATTGGAAAGATATGCAGGGATCAGTTGTGTGGAGCCTAGAGCCAGGGGGTGAACTTAGTAGTGAGTGTGCTGAGTGTGCTTGAGTGTCAGTGTGGTGGGGTTTTTCTTTTGGGAAGAGTTTCTGGAGAGAGATGCCTGGATTCAACACCCTAGTCAAGAGAAAGAGTACAGGCAAGGAAACAGGCTCACAGAAGCAAAGTCAGTGTCCTGGGACACCCAAGCATAGAGATTTAGAACCTGGGCTTTGGAGCAGGCAGACCTAATTTAAGATCTTGGCACTAGCACCTACTAGCTTTGTGTATAAGTTACGGAATCCCTTATAGTCTTCATCTGCTCATCTGTAGAATTGGGGGGAAATTGTTGTGAGGATGAAATGAGAAAAAGCATGGGAAAAAGTTAGTGTGTCACAGGACTTAGAGAAGGCTCAGGACACAGTCCACCCTCCTAACCTTATCAGGATCCTAACTATCTCTTTATGGCAGGGCTCTGAACAACTCTACTTCCTCCTCATTTGCTTTTTCCAGATCATCAAATTCTGCTGAACAGTTTATTACACGCTAGAGCCCTTGCAGAACAGCTAAAGTCCCATTTTCAGAGCTCAGCAGCCACTTGTGGCTCAGGAAGTGAAACCTTGAGCAAGCTGTTTTAACTGGAGGTTCTAGGAAAACAGGAAAAGCCTTCGTGTGGGGATTGATGAAAGTCGTGCCCTGCCCCGCAAACCTTAAGTACCCAGATTTTTAATTGCACTCAGCCTTGAGGGCCTTTGGTTGTTGACTGAGGGTGGCTAAGGAGAGCTTTGCCTTCTTGCAGGATTTTAGCAGTCAGGCTGAGGTGGACCTACCTTCACGCTTTGTGTTACCCTCAGAACCTTTGTAGTGTCCATGGTTTCTATCTTCCACCCAGCATGGCCTTCAAACTTCCGTCTTGATAGTTCCTCTCCTACCAATTATCTCTCACTGTTGCCTGCTCCACAGGGGCCTAAAGCAAGAGGCCTAAAGCTGCCCTCAGTTGACAGCACAAGGTGTCTTACTTACCTCCCTCCAATTCTTTTGGATGTTGGGGACAGAAAATCTTCCCCTGGCAGGGTGGGGATGGATCACTCATGCTTGCCTCCTTTTCTTAGGGGAGATCTTCGAACTGAAGGCAGAGCTCAACAGTGACAAGAAGGAGAAGAAGAAGGAGGCAGTGAAGAAAGTGATCGCATCAATGACTGTGGGCAAAGATGTCAGGTGTGCAGTAGTAGGCCAGGCGGCAGCTGAAAGCTCACTGACAGGAAAGGGTTCATAGCTTGGGTCCAGTTCAGTTGAGTTGGTGTCAAGATAATATTTGTATATAAATTTAAGGGGTACAAATGCAATTTTGTTACAGATATACTGCCTAGTGGCAAAATCTGAGGCTTTAATGTATCTATCACCTAAATAATATACGTTGTGTCCATTAAGTCATTTCTCATCACCCAACTCTCTCCCATCCTTCCCCCTTTCTGAGTCTCCAAAGTTTATCATTCCACACTAAATCTTATGTGGACACATTATTTAGCCCCCACTTATTTTTTTATTTTTTAAAATTATCTTATTTTTAAAATGTGGAGTACAAATGAGGGTTAGGTACATACGTGGTCATCATATAGGTAAAGTGTGGGCACCCTTATTGATGTTATGTGCCCCAGTTCAGTCTCTCTTCAGGGCATCTGGAGACCCATGTCTCCCCTCATTGCTCCCTTCATGATACTTCTTTCCCAGAAGGTTTTGTTTACACAGGAGTCATAAGCCCACGCTGGTAGGTCAAGTGATGGAGTGAATGCAGTGGACTAGGTCAGAATGGTAGCGGGCAGTGGATTGGGTGTGGCATGAGCCCTCCTAGAAACTCCAGAGGATTGCTACCAGCTGGGGAAGAGGACCTAGTGTAGCCAGGACTTTTGGTTTCTAAGAAGAATGGAAAATCCAGATTTTTCATTTTAAATCTACCTATTTTAAATGGCCAGATGATATTTAATGAACAAACACTGTGTGGTCCAAGTAAAACACACCTGCAGAATGAATTTCTCTAATTCACCAGTTTGCCACGTCTGGTTTGTACCCAATGGCTGGAGCAGATGGTGGGTAGAATGGTTGCCACACCTTTGCTCATGCTTTTCCTGCAGGAATGCCTAGTGACTTGACTTCTTTTTCCATCTTTTAAAACTCATTCAGCTGGGCACGGTGGCTCACACCTATAATCCCAGCACTTTGGGAAGCTGAGGTGAGAGGATTGCCTGAGCCCATGGGTTCGAGACCAGTCTCGGCAACTTGGCAAGATCTTATCTCTACAATAAATTAAAAAATTAGCCAGGCGTGGTGGTGCACTTCTGTAGTCTCAGCTACTTGGAAAGTAGGAAGATTGAAGTGGGAAGATTGAGCCCAGCAGGTCTAGGCTGGGTGGCTATGAGCATGCAACTGTACTCTAGCCTGGGTGACAGAGTGAGACCCCAACTCAAAAAAAAAAAAGAATAGCAAAACTCATTCAAGGCCTACCTTCTCCCCAGCCCGCTGCCCTGAACTCATAGCATCTGCTTTCAGTTCCTATCACTCAGTACTAAATCTAGACTGTTTTCTTGTTGTGTTCCTTACAGTTCCCATATTGTAGAAAATGAGGTTTTTACTGCCAACAAAGTAGGATAAAGGAGTAAAATAACTGCCTTACAGTCACATGGTTCATGGCAGAAGTGGAACTAAGCCCAGCCCTTCTGAAATCCAAATCCAGGCTGTTTCGGTCCATACCTTCTCCTCTGTGCCCTTGTGTGCCCAGTCCCATGTTTCGTGGCCTGGGTGCTGACATGGAGCAGCTCCCCATTTGGGTCCTGAGACAGGATCACACTGTTCCGGATTTCCTCATGGATTGCCCCATCCTGTTGCCACTTTCAGCAAGGGACCTCCTGACAATGACTCAGGAGAAGCAGCTATGCAGAGGAATCTGCGGAAGACAGAGTGGCAGGGGGAGTCGGTGTCTGCTGGAAAACTGGCTGCCTTCCAAGTCAGATTCCTTCCAGGACAGAGCAACTCTCCTTCACCTAGACCACTGTTACCTCCTTACAGAGGAAACACCTCTGTTCTTCCATCTCAGAGGAACTTTCTTTGCTGATGTGATGGACCCAAAAAAGCAAATCAGTCTCATCTGCAGTTCTTCCTCCTCCCTGCTCCCCATTCTTCTTATGCATCATCTTCCAAGGTGATGTGTCCATTTTAGCTCTGGCAAGACTCCTGCCTGCTGGATGCTCGAGAAGTTCTCTATGACCTCTTATGTTGCCATGTCATTGCCTGTAAAAGCACAAGAATTGAGAGGGGAAGTGATGGTTCCAGAGATGGAAAATTGCTCTAGCTATATTTCACATCTAATGTGACCCTGGGACCACATATACCATGTTGGGAAGGATTCTATCCAGTGTTCATGAACATGGACCTCATACTCAGATCTGTCTCTACAGGCAAGTTATTTGACACTTATGGACCTCAGTATTGTCTTCTGTGAAATGGGGATAATCTGTTAGCTTCTTAGGGCAGTTAAATGAGGTCAAGTAGCCGAGCATGGTGGTATGCATCTGTAGTCCCAGCTCCTCGGGAAGCTGAGGGGGGAGGGGAGTCAAAATGAGGCTAGGCATTTGAGACCAACCTGGGCAACATAGTGAAACCCCATTTTTACAGAAAAATTAGCCAGGTGTGGTAGCACGTACCTATAGTCCTAGCTACTCTGGAGGCTGAGGTGAGAGGATGACTCGAGCCCAGGAATTTGAGATCATGCCACTGGTCAACAGCCTGGGCAACAGAGCGAGACCCCTTCTCTTTGGGAAAAAAAATAAAGATAGGGGGTATAAAGCCCTTAGTGCCAAACCTGGTATATAGCATGTGTTCCATACATGTCATGCTGATTCTTAGTGAATGTTGAAGCTGGCCCTTATGATGAAAGCAGCACAGCCCATCCCTGTTTCTTTATGAACCTTCAGAACCAGCAGCCTGAGGTATGTTAAGTATCAGGGAGGGAAAAAGAATCATTTTCATTTACTCAACACCTCCAAATATCAAGGCTCATATCTTAAGTATGTCATCTCATTTAATTATCACAAGGGTCCTGTGATGTGAATTTCTGTTGCACCTTTCTTGCAAATGAGGAAAATGAGACTCTGAGGACAAAGGAATTTTCCCAGCGTCATGCAGCTAGCAAGAGGCAGCACTGGGTTTGATGGGTTTCAGAGCTCATGTTTGAACCATGTGAAAATACCCAAGGACGCTTTTTTTGCTTTTAAAATCACCCCTTGGGATTCTGTTTCTACCAATAGAAGCATAGCGTAGCTGATACCCTCCCTTTATCAGGAGGTCTTATTTATCTTCCTCTTTCCCTCCTACCCACTGTCTCCCCCCATCCCAATTAGCAGCCTGGAAATCTTCCTTTCTTTAGCCCTCCCCATGCTGACAGTATTTTAACCTTTCAGTGCCCTCTTCCCTGATGTGGTGAACTGTATGCAGACGGACAACTTGGAACTGAAGAAACTGGTGTATCTATACTTGATGAATTATGCCAAGAGTCAGCCTGACATGGCCATTATGGCTGTCAACACCTTTGTGAAGGTGAGCAGGAGCTTGATGGAAGTGGAGGCATAGGATGCTCACTGCTCCATCTCCCCTCAGTCTGGGTTGGCACTCTGTGGCTCTGGATGAAAACACTCAAGCTCCTTTCTAGACCCTCAAACTGTCTCCACCTGCCTGGCCTAAGAGCCTGTTCCTCCAGCAGAGGGCTCCCACTCTCTCCAGAAAGTCAGATGCTAAACACCCCCATCTTACTCAATCCATGGGAGGTAGTACCAGGCCTTTTGATCCCCTCATACTCCCAGGGGGTGGCCCATTGCCCTGCATACTTTGCCATGGCAGGATTTGGCAGGCGGCTGAGAGCTTCTGTGTTTCCCTTCTAGACTGTTCCTTTCTATGTTTTTGTCCCCCAGATTGACTTGTCATCTCTGTGCACCTTTAGAACCTTAGCTCCCCTAGCCTTATCAGTGCTCAGATATGAGGAAATGAGGGTTTCTGTGGCCCAGTGGAAAGATTGAAGGGTGGGGTGCTAGATGGATCTAGGTTTGAATCAAAGCTCTGCTCTGATGAGACTGAGTGAGCTCCCAAGTTTCCTGAGAGCCTCAGCTTCATCACTTGTAAAATGGGGGCCAGTGTTGTCCTTCTCCTGTGAGGAGCGGAGGAAATGGTGTGCAGAGCCCCTGATGTGTTATGTGGCAAATGTTAGGAATGTTAGGTGTGGCTGTTACATAGCATTTGCCTTTGATACTATTGACTGCAGTTGGTGGAGATCCCACAGCAGCCATCTGATGTTGTTCAGCCCATCAGGGCTCAGAGCAACGGGCCAGGGAGAATATGAAGCCACAGACAGTCCATCCTGTCCCTGCCCCCAACCAATGACCGTTTCCCCTCAGGACTGTGAGGACCCCAATCCCCTCATCCGAGCCCTGGCTGTGCGGACCATGGGCTGCATCCGCGTTGACAAGATCACAGAGTACCTGTGTGAGCCACTCCGGAAGTGCCTAAAAGATGAGGATCCATATGTGCGTAAGACGGCAGCTGTGTGTGTGGCCAAGCTCCACGACATCAATGCTCAGCTGGTAGAGGACCAGGGCTTCCTGGACACCCTTAAGGACCTCATCTCCGACTCTAACCCCATGGTAAGCCACTGCCACACATTGTGCCACCTTCGCGACCTGGGTTCCTTGGGAAGACCTTGGCAGTCCCCAGTTTCTAGAATTTAGAGCCCTACTGGGTGCACGAGTTGTTTTTGTGCCTTGTAGTGGTTCAGGCACCATCTTGAAGTGAGCTATATCTGAGATCCCTTCTCCTCACCCTCTAACTGAATGCATGACCTGGGCAAACTGCCCAACCTTCCAGGACCCTCTTTTCTTTTCTTTTTTTTTTAATCCTCCCAACCCCTGGCCCTCTCTTCTTCATCAGTAAGTTGGATCTAATTCCATGTGGCTGGCAAGAATGCTGTGAAGGTAACGTGCCTGGCATGACCTGGCATACAGCTGATGTGTGATCGGTACTAGTGCCCCCTTTCCCCTTCCAGTCACATTATTGTTGCTGTCTTCTCACCAAGACTACCTGTAAGTGCTGAATGTGGGATGCTTTCCCTTTTCCCATATCTTTGCAGACTTGTAGAGGTTGACTCTTGAAGTAGTGTAGCCTGGAAAATAGGACATCAGGATATGGCTGGGTAGGGAACTCCAGTCTCCTCACCCACAGTGGTGGCAGCAGTTTGGATGACAGTGTCAAAGGACCTGTTTAAAATTAAATGCACAAACCCCTAGGCCCAGCCATCGTCACTCTGTAGCCTACAGAAACACTGAGCAACTGCCACAAACAGGCACTGAGCAGCCAGTACAGGCATGGATATTGGAACACTGTTTGCCACAGAGGAACATTGGAAACATTGCAGAATGCTTAAAAACAGCTGCTGGGCAGGAAATGGGTTGAGGGCCCTGGCAAGCCGCTCTCCAGCCCCACCCACTCCCAACAGCCTCGAGGAGCTCTACAGGAACTTTCTAGCTCTGAAAAGCACAGGTGACAAGCACTGAAATGAGTTGTTGTAGCTGTTGGGTTAGGTAGCTAGAATGCTTTCTATTTTCAGACACTTGGCGGTAAAGCTTTCTTGTTTTTTAAATAGCAGATATACTTATTTTAGTTTGTTTGCAGAGGGGTCAGCAGGGTGAGTGCTTGGAGTGTGGGTCTCATTGCAGCTCCAGACCCTGCCCATCAGGTCATATTCCTTTCAGTTTGTTCAACCTCTGACCAGCCAGCATCCTTAGCCTCACTGAACCCTGGCCTGTGAGCAGCACCTCCAGCTTCTGCCCCTTCCTCCCTCTCAACCAGGTGGTAGCAAACGCAGTGGCTGCCCTCTCAGAGATCGCTGAGTCTCACCCCAGCAGCAACCTGCTCGACCTGAACCCACAGTCCATTAACAAGCTGCTGACAGCCCTGAACGAGTGCACCGAGTGGGGCCAGATCTTCATCCTGGACTGCTTGGCCAACTACACGCCCAAGGATGATCGTGAGGCCCAGAGGTAAGCAGGCTGCCTCTTACTTGCCAGCCAACCTGAGGACCCTCAGACCTGGTCCTTCAGGGACTCCAACCAGTAGCTCGGCCTCCAGCCTTAGTGGACCCCTTCCAAGGTCTGCCTTACAAACCTTCCCTTTTGTTGCCCAGGCTGGAGGGCATTGGCATGCTCATGGTCACCACTGCCTCAACTTGCTGGGCTTAGGCTATCCAACCTCAGCCTTCCAGGTAGTTGGAACTACAGATGCATGCCACCACACCCGGCTAGTCATGTTATATATTCTTTAAAGCAGCTCTTGAAGGAGTTCCCATCATTACCTTCCATTTCACAGTTGAAGAAACTCCCACTTAGAGGGTTGGAGAAAAATCATACAGGTTACCCAGCTGGGACTCATTTCACTCTTGGTCTTAATCAGTATGATATGAGGACCTATGGGAGGTCCAAACTTCACCTGTATAATGACCACTTAGGTACCTAACCCTGAGTTGTACCCCACATCTTATAAAATAAAATAAAATAAAAATAATCATTTCGTGACCTGCCTGGGGAACTTGGTGAGACCTCATCTCTACAATAAATCAAAAAATTAGCCAGGTGTGGTAGCGCGCGCCTGTAGTTCCGACTACTCGGAAGGCTGAGGCGGAA